TGCTTCTACAGCATTAACATTGTTTATCTAACACCACTCTCAAAGGCTTAGATCCAAATTACTTTTAATTCTTACGGACAAATGGCAATGGAGATTTTTTTAGAGGTTATTGAGCAGTTTTGTGGTTTTGAAAACAGCTGAACCAGCTAGAAGAGAGCAGCAAGGAGTGACTTAATTGACCACCTGCGCTGTGGTCGTGATAGTTTCTCTTTACCAAACACGCCCCTGGTGGGTTTGACTCACCTGTCACTCACCTCAGTGAGATGTTATTTTTAGCCTGTATAGGAACTAAGACTAAAGATAGGATGAAATAAGAATAGCTTGACTCTCTTGTATGAATGTGTGTCTCTGTGTGTGTGTCTTTTACTTCCAAATGTGTTTTGAGGGATGTCCTACAGATAGCGTCTCTGAATAAATGGTGTATCTGCTACTGAATAAACAGAGAGAGATCAGCTTTTTGGCTAGAATTTAAACTGAATACTTTTGTTGCTTTGATAATTTGCTAGTGTGCTTAGGGGTAATGGTGGAAAAATCCTCATTCTACCCTATGGAAGAAACAATCCGCTTATGTAAATTCAGCTATACCTGCCTGGCGCATCCTAAAGACAAGTGTAAGTGATTAAAGTGTGAGTCATTTTGCTTGGAATGGCCCTCAGTGACCTCATCTTCCTTCTATAGTCAGTTCAATTTCTACATGTAAGTTCCTATTTCTGTTAGGTGTTTAGTTTTCTGGGAGCAGTGTTACACTGCTTTTTCAGTCCTCCTATGGCCTTGTTGTGTGCATGTGCAGAAATAGAGAGCTCTCCTGTCTTCCTCTTCTTATAAAGCCACCAATCCTATCAGATTAGGGTGCCACCTTATGACCTCATTTAACCTTACTTACCTCCTAAAGTCCCTATCTTTAAATATAACTGCACTGCAATTAGGGCTTCAACATAGGAATTCATGGGGGTAGGTGGGACAGTTCAGTACATAGCAATGACATATAGACAAAATCACCCTTGAAAATCCCTTCAGAAGGTGCTACATTGGAATAGCCCCACACAGCCAGGTATTTCTCTAGCATTGGAATAGATTATTGTTTCTTAGGTTGAGCATCAGATGAAGTAGTTCGCTTATACACAGGAACTATGATGGCTGAATTATCTGTGATTAATAAATGATTTTTACCTTTAAACCTCAGAACCACACACTCAGATCACTCAAGGGAACAACACCAGGTCCGGGTCTCTTATCTTCATACTCATTCTGACACTCAGGTCATTAAGGGGAACTCCAGGCAAAATGACTCACACTTTAATCACTCACACTTGTCTTTAGGGTGCCCTGGGCAGGTATAGTTCAATTTACATAAGCTGATTGTTTCTTCCATAGGGTAGAATGAGTATTTTTCCATCATTACCCCTAAGGACACTAGCAAATTATCAAAGCAAGAAAGGTATTCGGTTTAAATTCTAGCCCCCAAATTGGTCTGTTTTTATTCAGTAACAGATAAGGTCATTCATTCAGAAACACTATGTGTAAAAAATTCCTCAAAATGTATTTGAAAGTAAAAGGTGCACACACATTCATCCAAGAAAAGAGAGTCAAGCTATTTTAATCTCATTCAGTCTCTAGTCTTAGTTCCTATACTTGCTAAAAACAATGGTCACTATTATTTCCTGGGACATGTCTCTGCATTCACTGATTAGGAGTTCCTGCCTTGGGAATACCAAGCAAGGGAAAAGGGGGAAGTTCTGAACCTTTTTATTACTTTTCCTGGGACAGATAATTTGGGCTTGTAATAAAATCCAATTAAAATTTCAGTCCCTGGTGAAATTCTGTTACAATTTCCTTTCGCTTAATTTGGAATACAAAGGAGCAAGTTTTTTTCCCCCAGTTTATTTGTGGAAACCTGTCTTTCACTAGGATTTAAACAAAGATGCCTCAGGCAGAGGATTTGCATAAATTATTCATTTCTCCCAGTGCAGTTAAATCTGATACCTTTTCAGGAAAAGTTCTTGCTTGCAAAGATGCTCACGATCTCTCATGCTGAGGAAAATTTGTTACCTGAAGAAGTTGGAGGGGTTGGGGCCCCCTTTTGGGGATTTTCTTGAAAAGGTACCAAACAGAGCCCAGGAGAGGAGATCTTTGTGGATCAGGAAGGGCTTCTTAGAGGAGGGGAGAATTCAGTTAGGTAAGGGGTGGGAGGTGTGTTGACGGGAGTAATGGGGTCAGGTAGCTTTAGCTCAAGTGTAGCTATGACAGATGAGCCCACGCAGGTAGGTTGGAGGCAGCTGCTGTGATGGACCTTCACTGATACGCCAGGGATGTGGGATGTTATTGGTAGAGAGGAGTCATTGAAATCTTTTAATAGGAATGTGATGAAGAAATTTCTGATTTGGGAATATTAACATGGCTAGAATGTACTAGATGAATTACTGATGGGAAAAAATTGCAGATGTTCCTTTACTTACAATGGGGTTATGTATAGATGAAAATGCACTTTCAACTTAAGATATTTTCAATTTACGATGAGTTTATTCAGACATAGTCCCCTTGTAAGTCGACAAACGTACAGAATGCATATTGTTTTTGAACCATGGTAAAGTCAAAAAATCGTAAGTCGGCCGGGCACGGTGGCTCACGCCTGTAATCCTAGCTCTCTGGGAGGCCGAGGCAGGTGGATTGTTTGAGCTCAGGAGTTCGAAACCAGCCTGAGCAAGAGCGAGACTTCGTCTCTACTAAAAATAGAAAGAAATTAATTGGACAACTAAAAATATATAGAAAAAATTAGCCGAGCATGATGGCATATGCCTGTAGTTCCAGCTACTTGGGAGGCTGAGGCAGGAGGATCGCTTGAGCCCAGGAGTTTGAGGTTGCTGTGAGGGAGGATGACGCCACAGCACTCTAGCCTGGGCAACACGGTGAGACTCTGTCTCAAAAGAAAAAAAAAAAAAAAGTTGTAAGTCAAACCATCTTAAGTTGGGGAATCATCTGTGTGGACAGCAGTTTTATGATCAGATGGCAAGACTGAATGGAGAAAAACATACCTACTTTCCCTACCCTACTGTTTCCCTTAATTACCTAATGAGAGAATTCACCTGGAGAGCTTATTAAGTATACAGGTTACCAAGAATCTCCCCTGAAAATTATAACCCCAGTAGGTTTAGGATTCAGCAGATAATTTATGATTTTTAAAACAGCACCATATAATTTTTGTATTCTTACAAGTTGAAAGATACTTCACAGAAATGTTTGGTTGATCAGATCTTAAATTGTATGTGAGGGTATCAAAGCAAAACTTGCTCTGGACAAAGTGTATTTTTTAACCAGGCAAGGAAGACTATTCTGGCATTGCAATAGGGGAGAGAGACCAGAACTTAGTCTAAATTCAACTCCACTGAAACAAAGAGTGGAAGGGTTCCAAAGGGCTGGGATGAACCACTATAAATGTACTGGAGGATGATGGGGAGACATTGGTCATGGGATGTGTTGTACATTAAGTTATTTGAGTTTGTGAATACTCTTCTCTATAATTAGGCCATGTGTTTGCTAATTGGTGCCTTATCAAAGTTAGGCTCCTGTCCTCCCATAGAGACTGGGAGATGGAGGTGCGCTGTTTCTTGATGACTACATGTCAAAGGGATGGCTTCCAGGTCCTAGAAGGCCGTCCTGTGTTGTAAAATGACAAGAGTATGTGAGAAGATTTGCATCTCAAAGGGGCAGAGAAAGAATTTGTAATTGCAAGTTTTCTAAAGAGAATGATCTTAGGGAAGGGAGGCCAGCTGTCCATAGTCAGGAAGAAACCCATCTAAAGCTCATTCAAAGTGAGAATGGATTGGTTAGGGGTAAGGTATTACTACTATTACCGCTACAACTGTTATTACTACTACTACCATCATTAGGGTAGACTACTCAATAGAGGATGGAAAGGAAGAGTTAGGAATGTTAAAAAAGAAAAATCAGTATTACTTTTAAACCTAATGTGGGGAATTGGAAAGTGGGATACAGAAGAATGAGCAGTCCAAAGGTATTGACCCTGGACTTTAGGAGAATGAAGATCCAGTGACAGAAATGAAATTTCCAGTTGTCTGGCAGGGATTTGGTGCCAAATGACCCAAGCCAACTTGGTGAAGCCTCACTATTAGGTTCCTCAGGTAAAAATGGCACCCTGTAGTCAGCACTGGAAGTTGATGAGAGTTAGGGAAAGCAGCGGGGTTTGTGGAAGCCTCCTCTGGAAAGTAGTCTTTTCTGATAGAACAGTGAGATCGGACCAGCCCTGGACTGTGCATTCACAGTTAGCGTCTTGTGTTGGCTCCACCTCAGTCACACTCACACACACTGACATACACTAACACACACTCACACACACACACACACACACACACCCTGTACATACACTAATGAAGTATTTTGAAGTAAGTTATAGGCATTTTAGCAGCAAAGTTTTATGGGAAACTGATGACTTCCATTTAGCACAAGTTGCATGAGAGATTAGTCAGAAAACTTGAGTGAGGAGGTCAGGGCCTTTAGAAGTAGCCTTGGAAGTGATATTAGAACAAGTGGCAGCAGAAAAGGTGAGTGAGAAAAGTGAGTGAGATCCCCACTAAGTTACTGGGGATGTATGACATTAGTGTATCTTCCTTTTTTTTTTCAAGGGAGTAAGTGTAAAGAGGGGAGAATGGAAACCTAAGAATTCATGATCTTCTTAAGCAGGAGAGGAAGGGCCCCAGTGTTGCCTTTTCCAGATCGGTCTATGATGCTAAGGAGTGTCAGGGGTACAACTGAGTTGCTCATGCAACTCCTGGCAGGAGACGGGGCTGGTGGAGTCAGATGCAGGGCTCAAGAGTGAGCGGAGAAAAAGGAGCCAGGGTGCAGATGGCAGTTTCGGGAAATCTGGCTTTGGAAAAAAGTGAGATGTGGAGGCACAGCAGAAAAGAGTGATAAGATGAAGTTAATGGGGATGTATGATATTAATGTGTTTTGCTTTTTTCCAATGACTTTTTTAGCAATCAGAAATGAGTGAACAATCAGAAAAAAACAATTCCATTCAAGAAGGACACACAGATCATAGTTCTTCTGAGAAAAACTGTCAAATTGGACAGAAACAACTGGTATGGCACACAGATTCTATGACTGCATGTTATTTGGGGTGTTCCTAACTGAGGATCTCTGAGATGCCCATGGACTCTGTCGGGAAGGTGGGCCCAGCCAGGACTTCCCAGGAGGGATCTCTGCTCCCCCATGCTGACGGACCTTTTCCTCCTCTTCCCTATGTTCTCACTGGGCTGGTCTAACCTCACCCATCTCCCCACCTCTCATGTCCCCTGATTTTTAGCCCAGTGTTCTGATTAGTAAAATCCTGCCCTTAGAGTAGAGCATTTGTGGAGAACATATTCAAATGTTTTTATTTAACAAACCCTTATTTTGTTCTTATGATGTCACGTAGTGGTTCTAAAACTTGGTATCTATTAATTCATCTAATTCTCATCAGAAGATACTATTGCTAACCCTGTTTTACAAATGGAGAAACTGAGGCTTAGAGAAGTAGGAACTTGCTCAAGGCACAGCACTAACAAGAGGCAGAGCCAAGACTTGAGCACAGGTAGGCTTACCCTGGTGTCTGTTCTTAACCTCCCGCTACGCTGCTGAGAATAGTAATAAGTGGTACTAAGTCATACTTATTTCATAGCCAAACCTAATGCAGTACTATGTCATAAGGTTAAGTTTATAAAACAAACCCATATGTACACACCAAGATGAAAATTTAAGGAAACATATTGATAATATTTTAGACTGACTATTATGAAACTAAATAAACTGCAGGAGAGCCTATGAGATTCTGTTAAGTAATTTGTTGCATTGAGATTCAAACACAGAAAGTTTTCCTTTTGTGTACAGATGCAGTATTTCAAGTATTTGTCAGCCTATGTGTTTTTGGCTACTCAGATTATTTTCTTCTAAAATCCTTCAAAAGAGCCTTCCCTTCCCTCCTGGCATGCGCTAAATGTTCAAACTGAGTTATCAGTGCAGTATTTGACTGAAGCATTTTGTTGTTTGTCTTCCAGATCAGGCCCTATTTAATTTCTAATTATAAAAACTCCCAAACAGAGACTTTTAACGACTCTAGAACACTCTAGAAAGTCATTTTAGCAAGATTGCTCTTGTTCAAATTGGGCTTTGACTGAGAGTGGATCCTTCGGGTGGCTGTGTTCTGAACCAGAGCTCCAGATGGAGCCCATACTCCCAGGACAGGGAGCAGTTCCGAAACGCATCCCAGAGCACCGAGCGGGGCGCGCTGTGTGTACTCTGGGTTCTCGCTGTGGTTTGAAACACTTTGTATGGGCTTCTTCAGCTAACAGCTGAGGAAGGGTTTTTAATCCTTTGTCCTTATCCACTGTAAAATGCTAATTCTAATGTTCATCCCCATCAAATTTGGAAAGCTGACTGCTATTTTGCAGGTATAAAAAGAATTCTTCTGTTCCCCCTTGATTATTTTTACCTTTTAATTATACGAGTTTTATATTACGTATGTCTTTTTTTAATTGACTTGTGCACACTAAATACTATGTATTTCTTTATTCAGAAAGAATGGCCTAATTTGAGAAAACTTACACCATCTTTGAAAACTTAAACTGTTTATTTCTTTGTGTAAAACATATATACTTCCATGCCATTATGGTGAAAGTTATAGATGATTCATTTTGAGACAATGTAAAACAGGTAAAACTATCCAGTTCTTACTACTAATACATTTTATTTGTTTCACAGCAACAAATAGAGCGGCAGTTAAAATGCTTGGCGTTTCAAAACCCTGGCCCACAGGTAGCTGACTTTAATCCTGAAACAAGGCAGCAGAAAAAGAAAGCACGGATGTCAAAGATGAATGAGTATTTTTCTGCAAAATACAAGTAAGGTCATGACTTGTTATATTTGATTTGTGGGATTATAAAGTTTATGAGTTATCCTTGACAAAGCAAAATAATTAAAGGTTGCCTCTTTTTTTTTTTTAATGGTTTAAAAATATCTTTCTAAAGTATAATAGCACCCCATGTGTCTGGAAATTAGCCACATCAAGATATAGAGAGTTATCTCACTTGATTGTTCACAGTCAGTTACAGATTGAATTCCTTGTTCTACTACTTTCCCCTCCTCCTCACTACTGCACTTAACTAGTCTTAAAAAAAGAAAAGAAAAGAAATAGAGGTGGGGAGTGGTGGCTCATGCCTGTAATCCTAGCACTCTGGGAGGCCAAGGGGCGAGGATCACTTGAGGTCAGTTCAAGACCAGCCTCAGCAAGAGTAAGAACTCGTCTCTACTAAAAATAGAAAGAAATTAGCCAGACAACTAAAAATAGAAAAAATTGGCTGGGTGTGGTGGCACAGGCCTGTAGTCCCAGCTACTTGGGAGGCTGAAGCAGGAGGATTGCTTGAGCCCAGGAGTTTGAGGTTGCTGTGTGCTAGGCTGACGCCATGGCACTCTAGCCTGGATGACAGAGCAAGACTCTGTCTCCAGAAAAAAAAAGAAATAGAGAAATAGACTATAATCCCAAACTAGGAATCAATTGTTTAAAAAAAGGATTCAATGGCCAATGGCTCTGTACTAGAGTAACAGCTTTAGTAGGAAAGATTATTTAAAGTAACAAAGATAGGCTGGGTGCAGTGGCTCATGCCTGCAATCCTAGCACTCTGGGAGGTGAGGCAGGAGGATCCCTTGAGGTCAGGAATTTGAGACCAGTCTAAGCAAGAGCGAGATCCGTCTCTACCAAAAAGAGAAAGATTAGCCAGGCATCATGGCATGTGTCTGTAGTTCCAGCTACTGGGGAGGCTGAGGCAGGAGGATCACTTGAGCCTCGGAGTCTGAGATTGCTGTGAGCTAGGCTGACGCCACTGCACTCTCACCAAGGGGCCAGAGCCAGATTCTATCTCAAAAAAAAAAAAAAAAAAAGTAACAAAGAAGAATCATTAGAAGGAAAAATACAGGAATGAATTCAGAATATCCAGTCTCTTCAGGGCTACCATGAAGTTCAATGATTGTTAGTGCTTCAGAAGCATAAAATAAGCAATCATACATCAAAATTAATAATTTATACCCATTAAAAGATACCCTAAAAACACTGAAAAGCAAATCGCTAAGTGGGAGAAGTTATTTATCATATAAAAAAATCAATATCCAAAATACATAAAGAATCTTAAAAGTTAATAAGAAAAGTATAAACATCCTAATAGAAAAAGTAATAAAATAATAAGCAGCCATTTCATGGAAGAAACGGCTAAGAAATGTTCAGGATACTGAACCTCATCAGTACACTATGGAAAAGCGCCATACTCCCCAGATAGGCAAAGAGTTTAGTCTGATGATATCAAAGTTGGTGAAGCTCTGGGACATGAATTGAGTGTACAATGATACAACCACTATTTAAAAACAGCTTGGCATTACCTATGTGCCTTAGTATCTAGCGTCTTCGTGCCTGGATATATATCCTGGGAAGAGTTTTATACGTGTAGGAGGAGGGACATTTTTAAGAAGTTTCATAGCATCACTTTTATAGCAAAGAACATAAAGTTTTAATCATCCAAATGCCCATCATAATGGAAAAGATAAATAACTGTGTTATATTCATACAGTGTAATACATATAGAAGTGAAAATATTTGAATACAGCTACATGTACCACCATGGAAAAACATCAAATCACGGTAAAGAATAAAAAAGCAAATTATGGAAGAAAAATTACAGTGTGCTTGGGGATACATACATATGCGGCATAGCTTACAGTAAAACAAGGAAGTGATTTTTATAATATCAAGGCCTGGTTCCTTTTGGAGGGGTGGGCAGAGGGATGCGTGGGTGGGGCATGAACAGGAAAGGCTGTCATATTCTTATTAAGCTGGGCCGTGGGTAGGCACACAGAAGTTTTTGTTCATCTTTATGCATGTAGCATATATGTTCATACACTTTTATGTATGCGATAGTTCAGAATTGTATAAAAGATAGCATCAGATGGGCAGGAAACCATAAAATCTCTGTCTTGATGTCTGAGTCAAGGCAGGGGAATGTTTGGGTTAAGGCAAAGAGAGGAGGGCGAAATCTGACCCACGCTCTAGGTTGGTTTCAGGACCACCCACCCCCATCATTCCTTTAATAGATTTTAAATCTCTTCTGCTGAATTTCCCAGGGACTTGAGAAAGGTCTCATTCCACAGATGAAGCACTCTACGTGTAAATCCTCATTAGAAGGCGTTCCTGCTAAAGTGTGAAAAGCAGGCAGTAGTAAGTGTAGATAATGACTGATCCTCATCCTTGCCCGAGTCCCTCAGGAAAGGAGAGGAGAGAACAGCATTGCTTACCTGGGCAGGAGGCCAGGAGGTGATATGTCTGCTTGAGGACAAAGGGTGCAGAAGTACACAATTTTACCACACTAGCTTAAGGACAGCCTTTTGAATTTCAACGGGTAATAACGGATACAGGCTGTACAGAGATATTTTTGCTATTCTAAGGCTTTCAAACAGCTCAGTTTGAAGGATTTACTTCTAAATGATTTGGTTTTGAGAGGGCGGTGGGATCCCTGTGACAGTCCTTTGCCCCTGTGCACGTTGCAGAGGCTGACGGAGAGAGTGTGGGAATCCCAGGCGAGGTGCCCTCCTGCAGCACAGAACACCTTGCCTTCGCTCAGAGCTTGTGATGCCTGATGCTACCATCTTGTCACCTGCTTTCTCTGCCACGCTGGGTGAGAAACGCTGGGTGAGAAACAGAAAAGAACAGAGAAAAATGGTACCTAGAGACATTAGCAAAGGAGCTTTTCTTTCTTTAAATGATTATAGTGTAGTAAGTGACAGTTCTCATCTTGAGTCATTAAGAAACGTAGTAGTTGTATTCAGTATAGTGCTTTCAAGGAAGAAAGAAAAAAGAGTGCAATTTATTAGGTAAAAATCCATCAAGAATGGTCATATTTTAAAGAAAAAATTGGAGGATTTGTAGGAGGAAGCTTTAGTTAGCTATTCCTCATGATTTTCTTAGGAGGCTTATTACATTTTCCAGCAATACTGGAAAAATGAAGTGTTACTTTAGATGACAAGCCTAGCTGTGTTGGAAATTCATTGCATATTGATCCAATTTCCCACGACATCACTGCCATAGAATATTCTGGCATGTTTCTGGGTAATCTCTAGGATGCTGGTCCCTCAGAGTAAAAGGGTCATGTGTATGAAGTTTGCTGCACGATAATTTATTCTCGATGTTGAGGAGAATTACACTGTCATGTTGGTGTCACGCTTTTCCTTTGCAGAGTTATGAGGAAGTACGACAAAAGTGGCAGGCTCGTCTGCAACGAGGCTGACCTGTGCGACTGCCTCGAGAAGAACTGCCTGGGCTGCTTCTACCCCTGCCCCAAGTGCAACTCCAACAAGTGTGGGCCTGAGTGCCGCTGCAACCGACGCTGGGTTTACGATGCCATCGTCACCGAGTCGGGGGAGGTCATCAGCTCGCTGCCATTCAATATTCCTGACTAGGGCTGTTATGTACGGACACATCTGCTTCTTCTTATACATTTAAGTCGACCTCTTTCTCTTGGGTGAATTTTAGGGCTTGGGGAAAATGTTGGAAAAACATATTTAGGACTCGTGTTCTCTCAAGCTGCAGAGTAAACTCGAATGGGCATTAATGTCGTACCTTCTTACTGTGTTTTGTCAAATTCCTTAACTTGTGACTGCAGGATGTGACAAGAGATGGGTGGGCGTCTCTCACCAGCACCCCCGTGTCTGCTGGGACTTCGAATTAAAAATCTCTTCTCAATTTGCTGATTCGTGAGAGAATGTGGCTGCAAGATGTTCAGAACTCTGTAGCTTTTCTTACATAGAACATAGAATCATGAATTTGTAATATCTAGTTATCCTTAGAATCTTATACATCATGAGTTCTAAATCAGAATTGCCACTCGGATTAAAAATAAAAGTCCTTGTGACTTTGTACTGTATATCCATAGCCACATTTTCTATTGTTCATGTTTTAATAATTTTAAAATTAGATTTGGTAATGCTTGGTAATATTTTTATTAGAAATTTATATTTTACTTATAAAATTGAGAGATTAGGACTTGAGTATCTGAAAGCCAGGGGTTTACATTTTTTTTAACTTCAAGATCAGTATTTCAGGATTTTTTTCAAAGGGAGGAAACTTAAATTATGATACCAAAATGGTTTGTTGTATGTTTGCTAATTGAGTATATCGATAAACAGTTGACTAGATACCTGGCGTGGTCTTTTCGTTTCCGACACATTGTAGGAGGTATATGGAAAGTTGAATTCAGCCTTCCTTGAATTCACTTTTTACGCCCGTCTTTTTCACCCTAAGTCAGTGGTTCTCATTCATTAGTGTGCATGAAAATCACCCAGAGAGCTTGTTAAAACACAGATCTGTACCCCACACCCAGAGTTTCTGACTCATTATGTCTGGGATGGGACTCAAGAATTCGCATTTATAATACATTCCCAGGTGATGTGGATGCTCTACTCTGGGGACTACACTTTGAGAACCATTTCTCTAATTAGATTAGATACATAACATAAGGAAGTATTTAAATAGAGTAATTTAATAAATTTTGAAAAATAAGAGCATTTGGTTTTAAATAAATTTGAAATGTTATAAGCAGAGTTTTCCAGATTTATTTTTCCTCCATAATCGGTTTCAAAAATACTTGTTTTTGTAGAATCTCCATGTGCCAGGGAAGGTTTCTGACAATTCTGATTCGTTACCTGACAGTATGTTTTAGGACTAAAGTAACAAAAGCCCTAAAAATTATGCTATGACCACAGTACGCCTGTCCGTGTAGCAAGAGAAGTTGTATTCTTCCATGTCGTTTTCCACAGAATTTACTGTGTTTTCCTGATTCAGCTCACGTGTCCTGAACATCTACTGTGAGCCAAACATTGTGCTAAGTGCTTCCAATGTGTTGCCTTTAACCGTCGCAGCCCAGTGAGGACGTGAACTCCAAGGACCAAGGCATACCCTTTGGAATGCTCACCGGGAACGTGCAGCCCTGCAACCAGGAACAAGGAGCGGGGCCTTCGTCGGTTTACATTCTGTTTTATTTTGAGAATAATTATTATTTTGTAACTGGTGGACTAAATGCATTGTTTTATTACTTTTTTACTTTAGAATCATATAATTTAAAGCCAAAAGGAACCTTCCAGCTCATCTAAATAGTGAACTAGTCAGCAGATGCCAATGGAGAGCTGCTCCGTGCCAGGCGGCAGGCTGGGTGCCGGGGACGGGACGGTGAGCAAACTCCACCTGGTTCCCGCCCTCACAGGGTTTATTGACTAAAACCAAACCTTTTTTTCTTTTTGTTGTTTTGTTTTTTACTTTTACAACTGAGGAAATTTAGATCTAGTGAGATTAAAGGACTTGGGTAAGGACACACAGAAGAGGTGGCAATCCTGGTGTTTTGAACACTGCCACTAGGTCAGTGTTCGTTCCATAATACCCCTTTGGCACAATCCTAAATTCATTAGTGTTTTTAATAATACACACTTCTGAGTTCCATCCCAAATCTCAGGAATTAGAACCTTAAGGGATGAAATCTGGTAATCCATATTTTTATTTTATTTATTTTATTTTTATTTTTAATTTTTTTTATTTCAGCATATTACAGGGGTACGAATGTTTAGGTTACATATATTTCCTTTGTCCCACCCGAGTCAGAGCTTCAAGCACGTCCATCGGCCAGAACTGCCTTACGTCATATCCTCGGCAGTCCTATTTCCTTACTAAAACATAATCCCAGGCAAGTAAGTTGGCATTAAAGTCCCTTTCCCTTCTGTCTCTCTTGTCATTTAGGCTTAAGCATTAGAGAAAGTAATCTGGTTTAAAATAATCTGGTTTAAAAAGTGTGCTGGCAAATTATGTTGGTAAGTTTTCCAAGTAAAGCAGAAAATAAACTGAAGTAAAAAATTGCATAATTACTAAGCAGACACCTCAGACTGCTTTGACAGAAGCCTGGGAAAGTATTCGATGTAGTGCATTTTTAGAAATCAGGTTATTTCATCTTGATTTAATGCCAATTCAATGCATTTTTAAAAAGCTTCCTACACCAAATGATTATTGCAAAAATAAATTTATGTGAATTGTCAGAAACTTATTTTGCAAGTGTCTAATTTTTGTCACAAAGTGAATAAAGCTCTTTAGCTATTTGAACTAAATTCAGATTAACCAAAAAATGTAGCTGTGTTATCTGATTATATTAACCAAGGAAATTGTCTTGTCAGTGTGATAGGATTTTTCTCTTTTCTGCTTGGCTATCTTTCAATGCTGATGGTGTGTCTTCATGAATATGTACAGAAATTGAAGGAAAGCTATTTTACAGAGGTTATTTGAATATAAACTGGTACATACCAAAGGATTTAGACAAGCCACGCTTTGCCCATTTATGCAAGGATTTGGGACTGCAATGACATATCACATGAATTTGCATGGCAACTTTGAGTCTCATTTGTAAGAGTTAAAGACTATCTAAACAGTGTCTAATCTTTCTGTACCTCCCCTTCTGATGCCTCCCCCCCAACGATATCCTAGAGCCATGGCAGGTGTAGACCTTGGGATGCTGACTCACAGAAAAGTAATTTAGCCTCTCTTTTAATATCTTTACTTGTTTTTCTGGAAAGTAAACAATGCTGTCTTGGATATTTTGTGGATATCACAGATTGTAGTTCTGTAATGCGTTGAAAACATACACATTTACATGAGCAAGGCTTTTGTAGGCTATTTGCTACTTAGGCCCAGAGGGTGACATTTATATGGACTGCTGTTCAGTGCCAGCTATGCCCCCTGGAGTCGTACAGCACAGTGGCCCTGCAAAGAGGTGTCATTTGATGTGCGGATTTCTTGATTGTCCAGCATTTGTTGACACCATATTGGGTACTTTATATTAGCTAATATTTTTATATAAAATACTGACAAATCCTATGTCTTCTCTTTTCATGTTTTTTTTTTTTTCATTTTCTGTGTTGTCTAACACAGCAGAAGATAGTTTTGAGGTTGTTTAGGACAATGTTCATATATATGATCTAACCGGAGCA